CACTGAATACAGGGAAAAGTGCCGCCTCCCAGCCTCTTCTGGGGTTTCTTATGTCCCCTTTCTTCTCTTTTACTCCTATCCCTCCCTTGGGCTCTGAAGAAAAATTGCTGACTGTAGCTTTGGAAGTGTAGCTCTGAGAACTATAGACAATTTGAGTTCTAGGAAAATAAAACTGTTGATTACTATCCTGGATTCTGACTAATTCTTTTTTTTTTTTTTTTTTTTTTTTTGGTTTTTCGAGACAGGGTTTCTCTGTGGCTTTGGAGGCTGTCCTGGAACTCGCTCGGCAGACCAGGCTGGTCTCGAACTCACAGAGATCCGCCTGCCTCTGCCTCCCGAGTGCTGGGATTAAAGGCTTGCGCCACCAACGCCCGGCTCGATTCTGACTAATTCTTTTGAGTGGGTTAACAGGAGAGAACCAGAGTCTCTTCCTCAGGTTAAGGGAGGAACCTCAACCTCCATTCCCACACCATCCGTTCTACCATTGCAAGCATCTGGGAGGACTTAAAGCATTTTTATTAATTTTTAGGTATATTTTATGAGTGTTTTGCGTGCGTGTGTGTGCGCGCGTGTGTGTGTGCGTGTGTGTGTGTGTGTGTGTGTGCGCGTGCGTGCGTGCGTGTGTGTGCCAGCCTGATCCCTGAGGAGGTTGGAAGAGACCATTGGATCCCCTGGAACTGGATGGTTGTGAATAGCTGTGGGCTCTGGCAACAAAACTCACGTCCTCTGCCTGTTGAGCCTTTTCTTCAGTAGCTGGTCTAACATCTTTGAGCCAGGTGTGGTAGTATAAATTTGTATTCTCAGCAGTGGGAAGGCAGGAAGATCACAAGTTCAATACCAACCTGGGTTGTACAAAAAGACCATGTCTGGGGCAGGGGCAGCCGTGTATACACAATTTTGCACAAGAAATTGGGTTTAAGGGACTAAGCATATATACATAAAGACACAAACCTCAGTTGCTAGAATAATTGACTAGTATGTCTAAATCAGAAGCCATGAATTTGGTTCTCAAGTACGCACAGTAAAACAGGTATAATCCCCAGCAGGAGATGGGGTGGGGCTCAGCTGGGTGGGTGTACACCTAGACTCATCGGGTGGTCTGTTTCCCACCACAACAGTGTGGAAGCAGAGAGCTGACTTCTAGATGTCCTCTGACCACTCTAGGGATGTGGTACCACTATTTTTTCAGGGTTTTTGCTGAGTTTTATAAATCCCTAATCAAAATAAATCAATCTTTTAAAAGGAAACTATATGGTAGTTTGAGAGTTGTTTAACAGTTAAAGAGCACTTGTTCTTGCAGAGAAATTGGATTCAGTTGCCAGCAGCAACACTGGCACAGAACCATCCATAACTTCAGTTCCAAGGGATCCAACACCTTTTCTGACCTCCCTGGGTACCAGGCACACATGTGGTACATACAATACATGGAGGCAAAATACCCATAAATCTAAATTTTTATTTTACTTTGTGTACCTTTGTGAAGGTCAGAGGACAATTTGTAGGAATCAGTTTCTTTTTCACCATGTGGGACCCAGGATTGAGCCTGGTAGGTGCCCTTACCCACTGAGCTATCTGTTGAAAAAAGAAGGCGTTGGTGGCGCATGCCTTTAATCCCAGCACTCGGAGGCAGAGGCAGGTGGATCTCTGTGAGTTCGAGGCCAGCCTAGTCTACAGAGTGAGTTTCAGGACAGCCTCCAAAGCCACAGAGAAACCCTGTCTCAAAAAACCAAAAAATAAATAAATAAAAGGGACTCCAAGATGAAATTTTAAAACCTGTGTGGCAGCCAAAAATATTTCCTCATACCAAAGTCCATAATTAATTTACATGTCTTACTGAAGGAGATCATCACTTCCTCGTATGATGCTAGTCCTTTATTATGTATCATTTGCAATACACGGTAATGCGGAGAGCCTCAGGTGTGTCTGAGGCATCTTGTGACCAAAGTCATGGAATGGCTGCAAAGTTGCCCCCCCACCCCCAGCAAAACAATCATTGTTTTCCACAAGGATTCTTCAAGGTCAAAGTACTAAAAAGCATCTGTTCATTCTAATATCTACCCTTCATACGGTGATGCTGCTAAATTCCTAGAACACTGAGCTATCTGACCAGGCCAATAAAGCTTAATCATTTTAAGCTGAGCGGTGGTGGCCCATGCCTTTAATCCCAACACTGGTGAGGCATAGGCAAGTGTATCTTTTTTGTTTGTTTTTGTTTCTGTTTGGTTGGTTGGTTTTACGAGACAGGGTTTCTCAGTAGTGGAGGCTGTTGGTCCAGCCTGGCCTCGAACTCCCAGAGATCCGCCTGCCTCTGTCTCCCGAGTGCTGGGATTAAAGGCGTGCACCACCACTGCCTGGCTCAGGCAAGTGTATCTTGGAGTTTAAGGCCACTCACTATAGAGTGAGTTCCAGGACAGCCAGAGGTGTTACACAGAGAAATCCTGTCTCGAAAAGCAACAAAAAACCTAAAAATTATTTTAAAGTCATCTGCAGATATACAGCAAACTCTAGACTAGCCTGGGATACACATGAGACCAGATACATAGATATAGACACTTGAAGACCTAGGTCCAATCTCCAGTACTTCAAAAAGAAATGAGTGTGAAGAGGTTCCACACATGATCATGGAAAGTGTCTGAGACAGTCTTGTGTAACCCAGGATTTTAGCAGAGGATGACCTTAAGCAGATCTCCCAAGTGCTGAGATTTCAAGTCTACATAGCCATCCCTGGTTTTTGTTTTTGAAGTAGGGTCTCCCTGTTGGTCTCAAACTCATGATCCTTTTACCTTAGTCTCCAAAAGTGCTGGGAAGAGAAGTGGTTTGGTTCTAGAAAAATCTTGGACCTGCAAGAGCAAGTTTAGGGAGGATAAGTTAACCACTTAATGCTAGTTAGGTTGTTAGCCATGGTGCAGCTTGTCTTAGCCAGGCATGATGGTGCACACCTTTAATCCCAGCACTATAGGATGTGTAGGGATCTCTGAGCTCAAGGCCAGCCTGATCTACATAGTGAGACCTTGTCTCAGTAAATAAGACAAGGCTTCTGGGCAAGAATTATGACTTAATTTCAAAGTTCACTTGAAGCTGCAGATGCTTTGGCAGGTGCAGTTCCTGGTTAGTCTCAGCATTCACCTCCCTGTAACTCCAGTCTTTTTTTTTTTTTTTTTTTTTTTTTTTTGGTTTTTCGAGACAGGGTTTCCCTGTGACTTTTGGAGGCTGTCCTGGTACTCGCTTGGTAGACCAGGTTGGTCTCGAACTCACAGTGATCCGCCTGCCTCTGCCTCCCGAGTGCTGGGATTAAAGGCGTGCGCCACCAACGCCCGGCGTAACTCCAGTCTTAGGGCACCCAACACCTGCACTTTCTGGTCTCCATAGGCACAACAGTACACATTTGCTACACGTAAAATTATGGAGGCATGCCAAGTTGTGGTGGCGAACACCTTGTGGATCTCTGTGAATTCAAAACCAGCCTGGTCTACAGAGTGAGTTCCAGGACAGCCAGAGCTACACAGAGAAACCCCATCTCAGAAAAGAAAACAAAAGGGCTGGAGAGATGGCTCAGAGGTTAAGAGCACTAACTGCTCTGCCAGGGGTCCTGAGTTCAATTCCCAGCAACCACATGGTGGCTCACAACCATCTACAATTCAATCCGGTGTCCTAGTGTATAGGCAGAACACTGTATATGTAATAAACAAATCTTAAAAAAAAAAAAAGCCGGGCGTTGGTGGTGCACACCTTTAATCCCAGCACTCCGGAGGCAGAGGCAGGCGGATCTCTGTGAGTTCGAGGCCAGCCTGGTCTACAAGAGCGAGTTCCAGGACAGCCTTCCCAGAACTTGGGAGGCAGAGGCAGGCAAATCTCTGAGTTTGGGGCCAGTCTGATCTACAAAGCTACACAGAAAAACCCATCTCAAAAAAAAATACAGACTGCAGTAAGCCCTAGGGGGTCCAGTCTGGAAGTACCACATAAACCAGGCTTGATGAGGAACCCCAGTACCTTGGAAGTGAAGGCAGAAACTAGCAAGTTTGAGGAGAGCTTGGGCTACATGAGACACTATCTCAGAAAACAACAGTAGAGAAGATGGGCTCCAAGTTCATCTTGCTGGGAGGTTGGATGGTTTAGGGGATAGGCTGGGGTCCGGGACTTTGAAAGCCTTAGACCTAGAATGATCAAACAGTAGTGGGTGCTTTCTTAGAGGTGCAGGTGTGAGGTCAATGGCAAACATCCGGTGCTGATGGCTTCAGAAAGCCTTTCCTAGTTATTCACATTCTAAGAACAAAGGTCACTTCTTCAGTGTCTTCTAGTCACTGATTATTCCACTGACAAGCAAGCCCCTGCCATTACAGACCGGACAGTTTACACCCAAAGTGCTCGCAGTCACCACCAGACTCATAGTAACGAAAGAAAACATACTTGATCTGATCAGGGCGGACAGGGGAGAAAGTGGTCAAAGAACGAGTTCATCAGGACATCTGTTCTCAGTGCTCAGTTTGCTAGGGATGCCTGCCAGTTCACTGATGAGGTGGGCACGATGAGAACCTCCCAGCACGCTCCACTGTACATAGAATGATTAGCTAGCTCATCTAGTGTTAGGTGGGAGAGGTTTTTAATCTCACCAGGTCCTTCAAACAGAGAAGAGCCCGGACATAATGGCTGTAATCTCACCTAGAAATGGATCCCTTTGCTAGAATGGCTGTAATCTCACCTAGAAAATGGAGCCGTGTACTCTGTGAACTACAACTCCCAGTCGCCTCCACGCAGAGCATTTAAAGTGCCCTGCGAATCTTTCGCCTTCAATTCCCGACATGCCTCTCACACTCGGGATTTCCTGGTTTTGGCCAAATTTCCTATTTTAGGTCATTTTGTAGCGACGGACTACAGTTCCCAGCAAGATGAGCGGCGCGCTTTCGTTATTGAGCGTCGCTCTGCAATTAGACTACATCTCCCAGAAATCCGGTGGGCGGAGACTACCAGAGTAGTGCACTCACGTGCAGAGAAAGGTTCGGAAAAGGTAAGGCCGCTCCACGCCGACGGTCTTCGGAAGGCGATGCGCGAAGTAACTTCCTTTTCCTAGTCTTAAACTGGGACACAGCCCTCCTCCTCGGTTTTCTTTTTACCAGGAGGCTGCAGCTATTCTTGGTCCGGGTGAGTCTGACGGGGGAAGTGCTTGAGGCCGTGACTTGTATTGAGAAGAGCCCCAGCGCGGAAGTGGCATTGCTTTTATCCAGCTGCGTAGGGAACCCCGGGGAAAGATGGAGGGGGGCGTGACCGGGCCTGCTTTCTTACACACATACACACACACACACACACACACACACACACACGACGAGATTAGCAGCAATTTCATCGCCGCTCTTAAGGCATCTGTGAGATGCTACAGTGACTGAACAAGCCTTAAGAATTTTTTGAAACACACACACACAAGGACGAGATTAGGAGCAATTTCAGCGTTGCTCTTAGGCATCTGTGAGATGCTACTTAGCATGGTACCAGGCTAGCAGCAGCGATTTAGAAACCTTACTGCATGCTAGGCTAGCGTTCTGCGTTGAGCCTTTTTACTTTGTTTTGATTCAGTTGGTCTCATCTTGTAGCTCAGACTAGTCTGTAGGTTACTGTGTAGGGCAGGCTGGCCTTGAACTCATAGCAGTCGTTATGCTTCTGACTCCCAAGGCTGAGTCATCACACTTAGCATTTTATTTTGTTCGTTCTGATAGGGTCTCACTGTGTAGTTTTGGCTGGCCCAAAACTCACCTTGTAGACCAGGTTGGCCTTGAACTCACTGAAATCTACCATTCAAGTCCTGGGATAAAAGGTATGTCCTACTGCACTCACCACTGACATTTTATTTATTTGTTTGTTTGTTTGTTTGTTTTTCGAGACAGGGTTTCTCTGTATTGTTTTGGAGACTGTCCTGGCACTCACTCTGTAGACCAGGCTGGCCTCGAACTCACAGAGATCCGCCTGCCTCTGCCTTCCGAGTGCTGGGATTAAAGGTGTGCGCCACCACCGCCCGGCCAAAATAAATAAATCTTTAAAAAATATTTAAGACAAGGTTTTTCTGTGTAGCCTAGCCTCAAACTTAGTCTTTTTGTTCTTTCTTACCAAGTGTTGGCATTAAAGTGTACACTGCCACATCTGGCTTGTTTTACCATTTTTTAAAATTGGATCTATTCATTTTTTAAATGTTTGCTTTGCCAACATGTTGTATATGTATTACTTGCAAGACTGATGCCTATAGAGGGCATTGGATCCCTTGGGGTGGGAGTCACAGATGGTTGTGATACACCATGTGAGTGCTGGGAATTAGATGCAGGTCCTCTGGAAAAGGAACAAGTAATGCTCTGAAATGCTGAGCCCCCTCTCTTTACTCTTTTGAGTCAGGGTCTTACAAAGGTGTTCAAGCAGGTACTGAGTTTGTGGTCCTTCTACCTCCGCCTCCCAAGGAGCTGTAACCCTGGCTTAAAGCACTCACTTTTTGCCAATTATCTCAGGAATCTGTTAATTTAGTCCACTGCCCAAACTAGGAGTCTGTTAGCACACACTTAGATAGGAAGCGTAGGTGTCCACAGCCTTGGAATGTAGACTTGGGGTCCTGAAGTCTAATAAAGAAAGCTATCCTTAGGGAGGATCGGGTCTTTCCTGTGTGAGGATAGAAGTAGGATAGGTGTTAATGGGGTAACCACCAGAGAAGACTGCTTGGACTCAGGTTCAAGCCAATGGGAAGTTTTTATTAGCTGACTGGGGACTACCCTGAGTGTGTGGGATCCTAATGTAGCCCCAGGCATTTCTCAAGGTGAATTTTTTAGCACAAAAAAACATAACCTGATTAACATACTTGGGTTAACAAGAACAGTTATCCAGAAGCAGAACTATGAAACCAAAAAGCAAGGTTAGTACGTACATTTAGAGACTTTCCCTGAACTATGGATCTTGATGGATTAGGTTTTTGTTTTCATTTTGGTTGGTGGTACTGTCTTATGTGCTGAGTTTTATGGCCTGGATGATATTTCTATGATGGAGTCAATTGTGTGAAGGTCTGGGGCCTGACACTTAGGGACACTATAAGCTGTTTTCCTCGTGCCCTGCTGTTCATGTAGTCACTTAATAACTGTCTTAAGTATCTTAAGTGCCAAGCTCTCCTGAGATAGCAATTCAAGGAGCTAGATAGTGTGGTCCTTGACCTCAGTGACTCCCCCATGCCCCCCAGAAACGGGGTTTCTCTGCGTTACCCTGGCTGTCCTGTAACTTGCTCTGTAGACCAGGCTGGCTTCAAACACAGAGATCCACCTGCCTCTTCCTTATGAGTTCTGGGATTAAAGGCACGCGCCACCCCTGCGCCTAGTGAATTTTTTACTTTGAAGTAAGACATATAGGGTTTGAATACTAATACCCCTTATCCCCAGACTCATAGTAGCTTTGTTATCATGGATAGTACATAACCTCACTGTTTTCTCATTTGTACATATAACTTGTGAGAAGAATCAATGATCTGAAGTCCACTGCACAGTAGAGTTGTTGCTTTGATAACATTCCTTGGGTTGTGTGTGGTGATACACACCTTTAGTCCTGGTACTAGGTGAAGGAGACAGAAGCAGATGGATCTGAGAGTTGAAGACCAGCCTGGTTGGTGTACATAGTGAGTTCTAGGTCAGCCAGAGGTATATATCGAGACCATCTCAAAAAACAAACAAGGGGCTGGAAAGATGACTGTGGTTAAGAGTACTGACTACTTTTCCAAAGGACCTGGGTTCAATTCCCAGCACCCACATGGCAGCTCACAACTATCTAACTCCAGTTCCTGGGATCCAACATCCTCACACAGATATACATTCAGGCAAAACACCAATACACATAAAACAAAAATAAAAAAACAAAAGTGCCTTCCTTATTTCAAATCTTTATTGTTTCTCTTGACTCATAGCTGACGAAGAAATTTTCTGAGTCACTGCTGAGATTTCTCACATATAACCATGCGTCTTTCCGCCCTGCTGGCCTTGGCATCCAAAGCCACTCTCCCTCCCCACTACCGCTATGGCATGAGCCGTCCAGGCTCCCTATCAGACAAGAGGAAGAATCCTCCATGGAGCAGGCGGCGCCCAGTGGTGGTAGAGCCCATCTCTGATGAAGACTGGCACCTGTTTTGTGGAGACATGGTGAGAACCTCAAGACAGAGAGACAGGAAGGCTCGTGAGCAACAACTGCCTGCCCTTGTCCTCTCATCTTCCTTCAGGTGGAAATCTTAGAAGGCAAGGATGCTGGGAAGCAGGGCAAAGTGGTCCAAGTCATTCGGCAGCGGAACTGGGTTGTCTTGGAGGGGCTGAACACGGTGAGTGGAAGGGTGATGGAGAATTGAGACGTCTTCCCCATCTGTCCCTCTTTCCTTAAGAGCAGCATGGGGTGTGGGGCAAGATGGTGCTGTCCACTGCTCTGTGCCCGTCTCCTTGCGCCACTCCCCCCAACACAGTCCGAGTTCTGTGTCCGGAGCTGACTGACTGAAAGTTGGGCTGACCTTGGGCACCAGTTTTCCTGTGGGTTTATCTCATCAAACAACACAATGAAGGTGTTTTGGAGTATAAAAGAATAAATGGCCGGGCGTTGGTGGTGCACGCCTTTAATCCCAGCACTTGGAAGGCAGAGGCAGGCGGATCTCTGTGAGTTCAAGGCCAGCCGGGTCTACAAGAGCTAGTTCCAGGATAGCCTCCAAAGCCATAGAGAAACCCTGTCTTGAAAAAACCAAAAATAAAAAATAAAAAAATAAAAATAAATGGATTGGAATAAACTTTGGAGATATTAATTAATATAGTCTGCTTCATATGATGATCGTGGCCATTCTTCTGGATTCACCAGTCAAGTTGTGGATATAAGGGGAAAGTTATATGCGAATATGTTTCAGTCAAGCTCACGTGCATTTTGCATTATTAAAAAATAATACTTTTTTTGGTTTTTTGAGACAGGGTTTCTCTGTATTGTTTTGGAGGCTGTCCTGGAACTCCTTCTGTAGACCAGGCTTGTCTTGAACTCAGAGATCCGCCTGCCTCTGCCTCCCGAGTGCTGGGATTAAAGGCGTGCACAAATAAAAATACTTAGTTCTTCATATTAAAAAAAAAGCAGCATGAGGAGACAGGAAACTGGCGCTAAGGGACAGGTTGTGCCACTGGGCTTGGGCTGAATACGCTGAGCAGTAGTAGGTAAATTCCCTTCACACACATTGTTTTCTGATATTGCCTTCTCTTGGACAGCATTTCCGCTATATTGGCAGAACCAAGGATCACCGAGGGACCATGATCCCTAGTGAAGCCCCACTACTTCATCACCAGGTCAAGCTAGTGGACCCTGTGGACAGGCAAGCACAGGGGCCTCTGGTGAGGGCTTCTAACTCGAGTCCACATAGGTGTTGGGCAGACCCATTTATCACATGAGAATGGTGTGTTGGATATGCTGGAACTCAGGGGGTCTGTTTCCTTTTCTGGGGGGTGAGGGGATGGTTTCTCTGTGTAGTCCTGGCACCTGATCTATAGACTAGGCTGGCCTAGAACTAAGAGATCCGCCTGCCTCTGCCTGGGTGCTGGGATTAAAGGTGTGTGCCACCACTGCCCAGTGGGGTCTGTTTTTTGCACACAATTCTGTCAGTAACCCTGACAGAAACAAAGGTGGTAACCCAGGCGTTTTCAGCCACTGCCTTTAATATACAAGAGATCTGGCTCTAAGTAAGACTAATTTTTTTCTACTTACCAGGAAACCCACTGAGGTCCAGTGGAGATTTACTGAGGCAGGAGAGCGGGTTCGAGTCTCTACAAGATCTGGGAGAATTATCCCCAAACCTGAATTTCCTAGAGCAGATGGCATTGTCCCTGAAACATGGACTGGTAAGCTGGGGATGGGCAGGAAGAAGACGGATGTGAGATGGAGGAGGAAAAGGAAAGTGGAGGGTTAGGATGTAGCTTGGTGGCAGAGCACTTGCCTGGCAGTGCGCACGGTCATGGGTTCCACCCCCAACACTTAGTCTGCAAACATCGTGTCCTTTCTCTGACTCAACAGATGGCCCCAAGGACACATCAGTGGAAGATGCTCTAGAAAAAACGTATGTGCCCCGGCTAAAGACATTAGAAGAAGATGTGATGGAGGCAATGGGGATCCAGGAGCCTCGAAGACACAGGAAGATTTATTGGTATTGACCCTGAGAGTGCTGGCTCGGCCTGCTCAGTCTTTACCTTGAGGGTGGGGGCCCTTCCTTGTCCAACACCAATAAAGAACCCTAAATGCAGCTGCTGTCCCATCCCTCTTCCTTCCTTCCTTCCTTCCTTCCTTCCTTCCTTCCTTCCTTCCTTCCTTCCTTCCTTCCCCAGGTGCGTTTGCCCAGCTTTTTTCTTCTCAGGACAAACTGGGTGATTGGTAGCCTTCCCACGGGCAGGTCCTGCAATGTTTGGAGATGAAAACAAGGAAGAAGCCCCTTGCCCTTTTCCCTATTTACAGGAAAATAGGGAAATTTCCCTATTTATTTTTTTTGAGACAGGGTTTCTCTGTGGCTTTGGAGGCTGTCCTGGAACTAGCTCTTGTAGACCAGGCTGGTCTCAAACTCACAGAGATCCACCTGCCTCTGCCTCCCGAGTGCTGGGATTAAAGGTGTGCGCCCGGCAAATCTTAAGTTTTAATAAATAAAAATTACACAATACATTACATATGAAGGGAGAGGAAGGGCATTAATCTAAAGTTTGCAGAGAGTCAGAATTCAGGCAGGACGCAGGCACTCTAAATGGTAAGATGCACTAGCCATATTGGCATTGTGGTTTCAGACTGTCAGCTAGCTGTCTTCAGTCTCAAGAACAGAGAAGGCCTGACCCAGGGGTGTCTTGGTAGCCACCAGAACCAGATTTCTGGGAGAGAGTTCAGGGCTGAAGATGGGCAGGAGCTCAGCGTAGAAGCCTAGGAGAAAGTGAGGGTTAATTAGAACACTTGCTGGAGAGATAGTCCTTGTGTTTTTTTCAATGCCGAAACACCTGCTTAAAATTCGCCTCACTAGGGCTAGACGGTTCACTGCTTAAGACCACTTGCTGCTTTCAGTGTACTCGTTTGATTCCTATTGCTCATATCAGGTGGCTCACAATGTTTGCAACTCTAGTACCAAGAGACTGCACACCCAAAAAGATTATGTGCACACATAAATCTTAAAACCAAAACCAGTCTGGGGGAAGGTGCTGCTATGAATCTACATTTGTTAACAAATGCCCCACTTACCAGGTGGTGTCCAGGCCCTGCCAACTGGTCAAGGACTCACCTTGCTCCTGGAGATAGAGCAGCCGGTCTAGCAGAATCAGTGTCTCCACCAGTGGGGCCAGCAGGAGGGCCAAGCTGAAGAAAGCCACCACACGATTCTCTTGGGCCTGTTGGGCCCGAAGGGCAGCCAGATCCAGTGGCAGCTGGGGGTCCAGACCTACTCGCTGTAACCCCTGTTGCACATATCTGTGGGACCAGCCATAAGACAATTAGTTCTAGAAACTTCCACCTTCCACTTAAACTTTTTTTTTAAAGATTTACTTATTTATTATGAATACAACATCCTGCCTCCATGTTTCTCTGCACACCAGAAGAGGGCACCAGATCTCTACAGATGGTTGTGAGCCACCATGTGGTTGCTGGGAATTGAACTCAGGACCTCTGGAAGAGCAGTCAGTGCTCTTAACCTCTGAGCCATCTCTCCAGCCCCCCACTTAACCTTTTGTTTTAGCTGATTTCTATTTTGATTTACTTAAATAGGCATTTTTTTATTTCTACTTTTGGCTTTTCCAGACAGGGTTTCTCTGTAATCCTGGCTGTCCTGGAACTTGCTCTGCAGACCAGGCTAGTCTTGAATTTAAGAGATCCACTTGCCTCTGCTTCGCAAGTGTTGGGATTAAAATGCATTAAATGCTATGCCTGCCTATTTTGTGTTTTTGGGACAAAATGTCACTATGTAGTCTAGACTGCCCTCAAAATAAAATGGAAGCAGTCCTTGACTCCAGAGCCACAGTGCTGTGGTCACAGACATATGCCACTACCCACTTACTAATTCTCAGGCTATGAGCTATCTGTTCAATAGCAAACAGCCCCAAAATTTATTTTCATCCAGTCTTATACAAGTTAGCCATACTTTTAGTAATTAGAAATTATCGGACTGATGTAGTAGTTAGTTTAGTGATAGTACTTGCTTACTTAGCATGTTCAAAACCCTGGGATTTGATTTCCAGAGGTTAAAAAACTTGGGCAACAGGCAGTGGCAATACATACCTTTAATCCTAGCACTAGGGAGGCAGAAGCAGGCAGATCTACAGAGTTTGAGTTTGAGGCCAACCTGGTCTACAGAGCTAGTTTTCAGGACAGCCAGGACGGTTAGCAGTGATACCCTGATTCAAAAAATGAGAAAAGGAGAGAGAAAATTTGGAACATCCTTGCCATCTCCCCAGTGCTAGGGTTATAAGGTGTATGTCATTACCCTCAATTTATAAAGTGCTAAGAATTGAACCTAGGCTCATGCATGCTAGACAAGTATTCCACCAACTGAGTTAACACCCCTAGTCTTAAGAGGACAACTTCCTTCAGAGAAACTTGGAGCACTGTCCCTGGTTAGAAGAGTCCATGCCATTCCTCTGGACTCAAACATTTTCTTTGGCTGTGCTAACAAGTAGGGATAGGTGGGGAGCCTCCCCAGACCTCACTCTTCAATCTTGAGTTCGTGGACCCTGGGGATTCCTTGCACGCCAGGCCTCCGAAGCTCAGGGCAGACATGTCGGATGACTGTCTCCAGTGCTGCACGGAAGCAGTGTGTTTGCAAGTCAGGGCCTGCTTTCTGTAGCCTCTCTGCATAGTCTTCTAGGGCATGGCAGGCCCCCTCCCGGAGCCTGTAGGGTAGTTCATGGCCGGGCAGCCCAGCCACCCACTGACTCAGTGGGTAGCTGCCAGGGTCACTGAGTTTCATGTAGCAGCAGCCCACAGAGGCTAGTGCTACCACTTCAGAACAGCGGCAGAAGTGTCTCAGCAAGGCAACACTCAGATCCCCACAAGCATGGAGGCCCGTGAGTAGCAGGCGGGCACTGCCCTGGCCTGATGTCTCCAGAGGAAGCAGAAGCTCCTCACACAGGGCTGTGGGGCTGACCCACTGAACCACGTGATGGGGGGAATGGCGGGGGCCTCTTTGTACCACCTGTGGGCAGAGAAAAAACAAAGGCAGATGTAAGGTTGTGTGGTTATCCTCGGGTCACAGGAATGGACCTGTCCTCTTAGTTATGTGGGAGAGAAGCTGGGCACCAGAGAGCTAGACTCTGAACCAGGAGATGAGACCACCATTTCAGACTTTTCATTTTTTATCCTTCCTTTTGAGGAGGGCAGGGGTGACAAAAAGAGCTCATTAGCTGAACAAGCTAACAAATCTGCATAGATCCTGTCCATGCTTCCCCAGTGCTGGGATTATAGCCATGTACCACCATACCTAGCTCAGTTTCCCTCTTTGTTTTGGTGGTGCTGAGGATAGAACTTAGGGCCCGATGAATGCTTAAACAAGTGTCTTACCACTAAGCTGTGTCTTAGCTCTTCCATTTTTCATTGGCAATGAGATAGGGATACAGCTCAGGGCAATGGGTTCCATCCCTAGCACAGCAAATACTAGTTAATACCCATCTGGCTACACACAGTTCACTGTGAGAACACACCGATGTGGATATCACTTACACAAACTACAAAGTGTCTTTGAGATGTGGGGGTACTCTGGGGGGAAGGGGCAGAATCACAGAAATAAATAGCAACCATCTCTAACTGACAAACTGGGAAGCAGAAAATGAGTTTTAATATACAGTTCCAGCCAAGCACCCAGCTCCTGTGGCGCAGGCTGCAAGCTTACCTTTGGGTGCCTCTTGTCCATCTTGTTCAGGGCCTGCAGGAGCTCCTGGTCTAGGCGCCGGGCTCTGCTAACCAGTCTTTGATTTCCTTCAAGGCTCTTCACCATCAGCCCCAGTCCGAGAGACATGAAACGGGAGAGATGGCCCTGGAGTCATGAGGGAGGACAGCACTGTTCAGTGCCCTGTTGGCTGTCACCGTATCAGTGGATACAGACAACGGGGTCCCAGGCCCTAAAGGCTTACTTTCCCACACCGCTTCCCAGCACTGCTCCTTCGGGCATTAGTTAGGTCTTCTATCTGCCTTCCCTGGCATCCTATCCTCATAACTCAGATGACAATATGTTGAGAGTCTGGCTCACCTGGCCTGAGCCCACATCCACAACTTGGGTGCAGCCAGTGAGATCACTAAGCTTCTTCACCAACTGAAAGAGGAGGAAACAAAAGTCTCTTCTTGGCATTAGCTCCTGACTCCTGAAGCCGTAAGGATGGTAGAGGAGCCAAGGTGACAGAGGGGGACACTGAGGGTGCCACAGAGACATGTGATGGCAAATCAGAATTGAGGATGACTGTAGGTGTTTAGCCTAATCTGCTTGCCCCTTTAGTCAATGAGCAAGAGCAAGAGCTCTGTAGGCTATGAAACCAAAAACTGACTGCAGTGAACAGGAGTAAAACAGTCACCCCCACACACAGCTGCCAACCAGTGCAGAAAACAGGAAAGGCCGCCAGCACCAACAAGACAGGATCCTGGATGCTTGCTAAGGAAGGGGACTTCTGAAGTTGCTGGTTCCTGCATGAGTAGTAAAGACCACACACCTTCACAACCCACAGGCTCAGACAGTCTAGCCTCTTAACAGTCTCCTCACCTCTCCCAGCCTCCGGATCTCATGCTGCTTTTTGGGCTTGACGTGTTTCCGAAAAGGTGCCGTTAGTCGGGAGCTTTGGCTGGGGTTCTCCAGGAACTCTGATGGGGTCTGAAAGCCAGGTGTCCGGGTAAAGGCGAGGGCACAGGCTGTGGACTTCAGGGCCAGCAGGGTGAGTGGCCACACGGACCTGTACCTGAGATAGTCCAGCCCAGGCTGCCAGTGAATAGCCCACAATCACATCCTGAGTGTACACGCTTATGAGCTGGCAGGCCAAGAAGATCTAATGAGACTGTCTACAAGAGGTTCAGCACATGGCTCATGTTCTCATTCCCCAGCACAGGGCTCCTCTGCTCGCACATACCTGATCTCCTCCCCTTCCCTGGGCATCCCCAGCAGCAGGGTGGCCAGCTGTGGTGGGGTTAGTCCATCTAGCGCTTCTTGCCATGAGCTGGGGAGTGTACCCCACAGGCTGTCGGTGAAAAATTCCTGCAGAAGGAACCAAGCAGTCAGAAGGACTCTACTACTATTCCTATTTTCTCAGCCCCATTTCAGCTCTCCACGTCATCACCTGCCTTTTTCTGGCACTAGTGCCTAAAACAGCCAGAGGCCACCAGCAGGTCTCTCCTGTTCATCTGTATCAGCACAAGTCTGCCCCCAGCCTCCACTAGTGCCTGGGTGGTGCAGAGACTGTGTTCTGAACATACTTCTCATTTTATCAATGCCCCCCATTTATTTGTGTCTGCTTTCTCCATTCAACTTCTTTTGTTTATTGGTTTCTTTGCTTGTTTTTTTGAGACAGGGTTTCTCTGTGTAGCCATGGTGTTCTGGAACTTGTTCTATAGAACAGGTTGGCCTATTCCTCTGCCTCCCTGGGATTAAAGGTATGCACCATCCATCATACCTGGCTTCTTCTTTGCTTTTTTTTTTTTCCAGATAGGGTCTCTCTAAGCAGCCCTGGCTGTGCTGAAACTTAACTGTGTAGAAGGCTGGTATAGAATCCATAGAGATCTGCCTCTGCCCCAAGGCATACACCATAATGCCTGGTTTGATCATTGTTTTTAATATCTGTATCCCTAGCATGATCAGTGACTGACACACAGCATTAATAAGTAAACATTAAGTGCTATTTTATGATACAAAGAGCTGTGTATTCTTTTAAATTCTGAGGCTTTGGGGGCCAGACATGGTGGTGAATATCAAAGGAGCAGAAAATGGTCTGCAGTCTGGCATAGTGGCACACACCTTTCTCCAGCACTCAGGAGGCAGAGCCAGGAGATCTCTGTGAGTTCAATGTCAGTCTTGTCTATATAGTGTTCCAGGGCAGCCAGAGTTATATAGAGGGATCCCCATCAAATAAAAAATAATCTGAGACTTTATTTATTCACCAAAATGTATTCTAAACTTGGAGAGACAAAATCTTTTTTTTAGAGATTTATTTATTTATTATGAATATAACATTCTGCCTCCATTTATGTCTGCACGCCAGAAGAGGGCACCAGATCTTATTATGGATGGTTGTGAGCCACCATGTGGTTGCTAGGAATTGAACTCAGGACTCTGGAAGAGCAGTCAGTGCTCTTAACCTCTGAGCCATCTCTCCAGCCCCGAGAGACAAAATCTTGTACATGCAGTTTATTTTGCAAAATAAAATTCAGCAACATCCTGGCCTCACTGGGCACCCACACATGTGTACACATAAATAAAAAAAGAAGCATGGTTGTGCCATTTAATCCCAGCACTCAAGAGGTAGAGGCAGGTGGATCTCTGAGTTTGAGGCCAGTCTGGTCTACAGAGTGAGTTCCAGGACAGCAAGGTCTATCTTGAAAAACCAACCCTTCTCCCCCAAGAAAAGAACAAGGTTTTACAATGAGAAATTATATTGCTGGCTGAGTTTGGTGCCTCATTCTTGTAATCTCAGTATTTAGGAGGCTGAAGCAGGAGCATAACCAAGGTTTCAGGTGAGCCTGAAACAGAGTGAAAGCCTGTCTCCAAAATAACAGGGGAAGGAAAAAGGGAGTGAATTTCCAATGCATTGGGAAGGCAGAGGCAAGATTGCGGGTCAACGAATGCATGGTGACTTGAGAAATTCTGAAAATGGTGACACAGACATGTTATCTCATTCCCCTCTCCATCATCCTCCAGCAGGGATAGGAATGACAGGGGAAAGAAAAAGTTAAATGTCAACAGCAAAGACAACATTCTAGTTCAGTTCTGTCATAGCAAAGCTCAACTGCTCACTATACCACGAAACCAGAAATGTATTCAAAGCCTGGACATGTATGCTCTGGAACATCTCCTATGTTTCCAGGAAAGGTCAACGCAATTGCAGCACACACAGCCCAAATGTTGGTTTTGGAGGTTGCAAAACAACTTAAGCATTAGAGACAGAAGGCTGGGGGAGGAATTATTCTAGTCTTCAGCTTTCCTGCACAGGCTGAAACTCATACGAGACAAAAGCTGTCTCCAGATTTCCTCTGTAATGGCTTCCGAACCACCCCCACCCCCAGAAGCGCCCGCCCTCAGCCCAGTGGCCTCACGATGATGTAGGCGTCCAGGATGGAACGGTAGAGCGCCAGGACGCGGGTGAGGTTCACAGCCAGCTGTCTCCTCTCTCCGTGAGAGAGGCCACGGGCTGAGACGCCAGGCATCTTGGGACCCGACTGGCGGTGCAAGGAGGGAGGAAGTGCGGAGATCCGAGGTCGGTACCACGAGGGCGTGAGACCCGAGCTGGGCTCAAGTCTGCAGGCCCAACGCGAAGCAAGAACTCCGAAACCGCCCGACAGCACCTCTTCCCGCACTCGCGTCCAGGCTAAGATGAGCAGGCGCACTAGTCAAATGTCACAGCTCCCACCGAGCAAGGCCATCCACGCGGGAGGAGCGAGGGGTCTCGGTGACGTCACAGAGGCGCGCCCAGTACCGGCTCACCGCGGGACCGCCAGCTGCAGGTCCCGCCTTCCTCCCGGAAGTGGGGCCACGGTTCCGGCGCGCGCTGCTCCGCTTCCCGCGGCCCACCACCTTCGAGTTGTACCTCCACGGGGCCCGAGGGGCCGGGGAGCGCATCCCGCCCCCGCCCCCGCCCACGCCGCCGCCGCCGCCGCCGCCGCTGCCTCTGCTCACGCACTCGGAGTCGCTGGCCTCGCTGCCTGAGGCGGGGGCGCTGCGGGCGCGAGTGCGCCGGCCGCCTTCGCGCTGCCACCCGCGCTCCTGCCGCCCCGGCGTACGTCGGCGCGCGCCTGCGTCCGCATCCGGCTCCGGACGCTTGCGATGCTAGCGGGACCCCAGCTGGAGGTAGGTGTGCGGGGTGTTCGGGGATGGCCCGCACTTCGAGGGCCATCAGAGTGTGCCGGACGAGGTGGTCCTCCCGGACTCTTGCGTCGCCTCCACTCAGATCGCCCGGTGATATGCGTGTCACGGGTCCTTGCTGTGGGGCGGGAGGGGGCGACGAGAACCGCCCAGGTGAGGTGCGTGAGAAGGTCGCCCCCACGTGGAGCTGAATGAGAGCTGTCCCACGCTGTCTGGGGCAGTCCAGACGACATCCGTGCTGTATCCTCTCACCGCAGGCAAACGTACTTAGGAGTTTCGCTTCTGCTGTTTTCAGAACACCTTTGTTTTGACCTCAGAGACCTGGCAGAGTTGGAACTCCGTGGGCTCCACAACCCCTGCTTACCCCCCAGTCTCAGCATCTTCCCTTTATATTATTAGGTTTTTATGTGTGTGCTCTGCCTGCACATATATGTACATATACAATATATGTATATATGTGATGTGTATATGCACCATGTAAGTGCCTGGGGCCTGCAGAGATCAGAAGGCATCTGACCCCCCTGAAGCTGGAGTTATGGATGTTGTGAGCTGCAATATGCGTGCTGGGAACTGAACCCTGGGTCTCTGCAAGAGCAACCTATGCTCTTAACTAAGTCATCTCTCCAGCCCCAGTCTGGTCATTTTTTAAAAGACACTGAAATCTAGAGAGCGGAAATATCCCTTTTAAGATCTACCCGAGCCGGGCGTTGGTGGCGCACGCCTTTAATCCCAGCACTCGGGAGGCAGAGGCAAGTGGATCTCTGTGAGTTCGAGGCCAGTCTGGTCTACAGAGAGAGTTCCAGGTCAGCCTCCAAAACAATACAGAGAAACCATGTCTCGAAAAACCAAAAAAAAAAAAAAAAAATCTACCCGAACATGAATTGTAGGGCTTTGGGCTTGCAGCCGTATCTCTTAAGCTTTCCAGAATTGGTTTTATTTTTCCCCCCAGGCCTATGGTGCAGGTGTCAAGATTGCTTTTGTCCCCAGGGCTAATTGCAGAACCTGCACATGCTGGACTATGGGATTCCACAGAGAATGAGCCTCCCAGCCTTCCATCAGTGAGCCATCCTTGCCAACTGCTCCCCAACATCCACCGTCCTCATGTCTACCATACTCCTGAATTTGGACTTTGGGAAACCTCAGAAAAAGGCATCTGGAGGAAATGCCAAGCACCAACGTTTTGTCAAGAAGCGGCGGTTCTTAGAACAGAGAGGATTTCTGAATAAAAAGAACCAACCCCCAAGCAAGGTGTCTAAGTTGCACTCGGAACCTCCAAAGAAAGGGCAATCTTCTTCAAGAGTAGATGGCATTTTGAAGATCCTTCCATGCCCAAAGAAGAAGGAGGCAGCTGCCTCCAAGAGGGAGCCGGAGCAGTCCACAGACAAGAAAGCATCATTGTCTTGGCTGACCCCTGGTCCTTCAAAGAAGACTAATTCTGTTGTGGCTAAAATAGATTTGCTAGGGGAGTTTCAGAGTGCACTTCCGAAGATTAATAGCCACCCATCTCACACCCAGAAGGGCTCCAAGAAGAAACCCTTAAAGAAAAATGCAGAGAACTCCACCCAAGCTCATTTAGACAGTAAGGGCTCCAAGAAGTCCTCACACAAGAGTGCTACACAGAACTCCACCCAAGCTGGTTCAGAGGAAAAGTGCCTTAAAGTCTCCCAAAGCTTGCCAGGGAAGATGGTGGCGGTCGACTGTGAGATGGTGGGCACAGGACCCAAGGGCCGTGTGAGCTCCTTGGCTCGGTGCAGCATCGTGAACTACAATGGAGACGTGCTTTACGACGACTACGTCCTGCCCCCCTGCCACATTGTGGACTACAGGACCAGATGGAGTGGCATCCGCAAGTGCCACATGGCTAACGCTACACCCTTCAAGATTGCTCGGAGTCAGGTGAGGGGCGTGGGACCAGGCAGTAGTGAATGGCTGGGAGAGAGCTTTCAGCAAGTGATACACGTGGGAGGTGTGAAGGGAAGGGAAATAATGTCACACGAGGAAGAAGGCTTCCTGTTGGAGTAAGGAATTATTTTTCTAGTGGCTGTGACAAAATGCCCGACCAAAGGATCTAACAGATTTACTTGCCAGATTAAGGCTGCGTTCCCTCATGGTGTAGAGGTCACGGCCGCAGAGCAGGCTGCAGCTAATGGGCAGTGGGGGGGGCAGAGAGATGAATGCTGGTTCTGATTGTTTCACTCAGCCTAGGGCTGGCTAATGGGATGAATAGGTTCTTTCTGTTTTGCTTTGCTTTACTATTGGGTCTTCCCACTTCAGCTCACCCAACCAAAAGCTCACAGACACACTCAAAAGTTTGTCTTCTTGCTTCTTTCTTTCTTTTTTTTTTTTTCTTTTTGTTGTTGTTTTTTTTTTTTAAGACAGGGTTTCTCTGTGGTTTTGGAGGCTGTCCTGGAACTCACTTTGTAGATCAGGCTGGCCTCGAACTCACAGAGATCCGCCTGCCTCTGCCTCCCGAGTGCTGGGATTAAAGGCGTGTGCCACCAACGCCCAGCTAATTCTTGCTTCTTTCAAGTAGACAGTTCTATCATGAATCCACCCCTTGTCAACTTGATGCACAAAACATGACAGGTTTTAGCCGTAACCTTCCGTCCTCAGCCCTCATAAACTCATAGCCATCTCATGATACAGAATGGCCTCCATAGTCTGTAACAGTCTAAACACTGTTCAAAAATAAAAGGACGGAGAATCTCTGAAACTTAGACTCTTAACTGTGAGCTCCATCACATCAAAACAAAGGCTGAGCTTGGCAGAGCACACCTTTATGTCCAGCACTCAGGAGGCAGAGATAGGTGAGTCTCAGTGTGTTCCAGGCCAGCCATGGTGAGACCCTGTCTCAAAAACAAGTTTAGAGCTGGAGAGATGCCTCATAGTGTAAAGTGCTTGTTGTACAAGCATAAGGACTGAATTTAGATCTCCTAGAACCTACCTGTCTTGTTAGGGTTTCTTTGTGATAAAACATCCTGACCAAAAGCATCTTGAAGAAGAAAGTGTTTCTTTCATCTTACAGTTACAATCTATCAGGAGGGAGGTTAGAGCTGGAACTCAACGCAGGAACTGAAGCAGAGTCCAAGGATGAATACTCCTTACTAACTTATTCCCTGCTGGCTTGCTTAGCCCCCCCCCAAAAAAAAAAGGTTTCTCCGTGGCTTTGGAGTCTATCCTGGAACTCGATCTGTAGACCAGGCTGGTCTCGAACTCACAGAAATCTGCCTGCCTCTGCCTCCCTAGTGCTGGGATTAAAGGCACTGCTTTCTTATAACACCCAGGACCACCTGCCTAGGGATGATGCCACCACCCACATCAGTCACCATAAAGAAAATGTACCACAGACACCAGACAGACCAATCTTGTGGAGTCATTTTCTCAAGATTCCCTCTTCCTAGATACATGTCTCAAACTGACATAAAACTAGCACAGTAGCCTGCTTGTCAACTTGACACACAAACACATGATAACCTTCCCTTTCTTGTTGTCCCAATATGTCATATTAATGTCAGCCACAGGGAAACCCTGTCTGGAAAATTAAAAAAAAAAAATCTAAAGTCTCTAAGGTATCATAGTTATGGCTTCCTGTAAAACCAAAAAGTTTAAATACTTTCTTATTTCCAAAGGAAAGATTCAGGACACAGTCTCACAAGGAAAGGAAAACAAAACTGAAATCCAACGGTATAAAGCTTAAGTGTCATATTCTGAGACTCAAGGTTTTCTAGGCTCCAAGAGATTTGCCACAGCACACACAGCTTTTCTCCCAGGCTCAGGTCATTCCAGGTACTGGCATCTCCAAAATGCTGGGGTCTCCACTTCAACTGGGCATCTTTTCCAGTAGTCTCTTCTGGGCTTTCTTCAGGAACAGTGACCCCACCAATGGGCCAGGCCACAAGTTTTGTCCATGATCCCTTCAATCTTGGGCCTTCTACTGCAACTAAAGCTACGCCTTCAATGCCTCTCCATGATCTCATCATGATTTTCAAAAGCAGTACCACATGGGTGACTTTTTTAATGTATACAGTGTTCTGTCTGCATGTATGCTCCCAGGCCAGAAGAGGGCACCAGATCTTATTACAGGTGGTTGTGAGCCACCATGTGTTTGCTGGGAATTGAACTCAGGTCCTCTGGAAGAGCAGCCAGTGTTCTTGACCACTGAGCCACCTCTCCAGCCCCCACATGGGTGACTTACATGTTACCAAGTGTGGCTGCCTTGGCTGGAGCACAGCTGGGGAAGTATTTGCCAGGAGAGTTCACCTGAGTGATGCTTCTTCCTCCTCCTGTTTTGTTTTGTTTTGCTTTTTCAAGAAAGGATCTCACTATATAGCTGTGGCTGTACACCAGGCTGGTCCTGAGCTCAAATCCTCCTGCCTCTGCCTTCTGAGTGCTGAGAATAAGAGGCACATGCCACAATGCCAGGCCCTTGATAGAGCCCGTAAGGGACTTTAAAATTTCCCTATGAAACTATACAAGCCAGCCCTCTTCCTCTGCACTGCAGTATTATCTTCTAAGTTCTTGCAACAGCTCATTAAATTTTGAACAACATTTAATGGCTTTTCCAGCCCCAAATTCCAAAGTCCTTTCACAGTCCTCCCAAAAACACATGGTTAGTCTTATTACAGTAATATCCCACAACCTGGTGCCGATTTCTGTCTTAGAGTTTCTATTGCTGTGATAAAACACCTTGACTAAAAGCAAGTTGGGGAAGAAAGGGTTTATTTTAGCTTACAGTTGTAGTCCAAGAAGGGAAGGCAGAGCAGGATTTCAAAGCAGAAACCCTGGAGGCAGAAACTGACGCAGCAGCCCTGGAATTGCCTACTGCCTTGCTGTCTCCTGTCTTGCTTATAGCACCCAGAACCAACAGCCCAAGGACATGGCAAGGAAAGACTAACCAGAGTGAGGCTGAAACACAGCAGGGCAGACACCAGGGCCTCCAGCTCCATGTCCAGCGTCAGGTCTCGTGATGGTGTTATCTGGACTGTCAGGACCATAGGTGGCCCAGCCCTCGCAGCTCTGCTGCCTGCAGCACACGGAGCCCCTTTGTTGGGTGAGCTTCACTCTGCCTGCAGCTTTCTTGACAAATACAGCATGGTTTTGGCATTTCCAGAATCCCAGATCCTGCATTATAACTTAGGTTTCGCCTTCACAGCTTTGTGCAGGGGTCTCCTTGGAGGGACACCAACCCTGCCACGAATGCCCTGACCTCCAAATGACCTTCAGGAATCTTGATGCAAGCCCCCATAACCCCCTTATTCTTGCATTTTTCATGCCCTGAAATCCGTGCCACATAATTGCAAAGTTCTGCTTCCAGCTCAAAATGTAGTCTGGTCCCTAAAACTGTAGAGACTGCTGTATGCTTTGATGAGAGATTACTTGAAAACTATTTCCTAAGTGCTGTTTTCAAGCAGGATCCTCAGTTCAGCTCTCCATTTAAATGAATGTGTGTTTTCACAGCGTGGGGCTTTCTGTGGGTGGACCTTGCCCGTAAGTCACCTTTGTCCTTATGCCAGTAGAGTATTACATTTCATAGCCCATAGCTTTAAATGTATGTATGGCCTTTCCCCACCAAACTGCATTTTTTCCCTATATTTTAATGTCCTATTTTCTGTCTTTCATTGCAGACCTGATAAGAGCAGTGAGCAGTCGCCTTCACACAGCAGGGGTAGAAATATACTCTGCCATACAAATTAGTCCATTGCTTTTTAATTCAGCCTTACTCAAATTCACTAGACTCTTGTGAGCCAGGCTTCCGTTGTTGGCATTTCTCTTGGCATTCTCTTCGAGGGTCCCACCAGAATGGTCTGTTGAGCTCTGTGTACAGCATTCTAGGGCTTCTCTAACCCATAGTTCTGCACTCCCGCATTCCTCCTTTAAAACAGTTTCAAAGGCCTAAGAGCCACATGGTCGGTGTCTTAGTCACTGTTCTACTGCTTTGAAGAGACCATGACCCAGGCAACTCTTACAAAGGAGCCTTTAACTGGGGACTCGTTCACAGTTTTCGAGGTTAGTCTATAACCATCATGGCAGGAAGCAGACAGGCACAATTCTGGAGCAGTAGCTGAGAGCTTTACATCCTTTACAGACAGCTGGCAAAGAAAGACAGACACTGAGTTTGGCATGGACTTTTGAAACCTCAAAGTCCACCAACCAGGGACCGCATTTGAATATATGAGCAAATCATGACATTCTCAATCAAACCACCACAGTCAGGTTTATCACAGCAAAGCCCCACCCCTCATTACCGTTCTGCTGTGACAAAATCAGTGTAAGGGTTTATTCTGGTTATTAGTTTGAAGGTTCAGCATACTGATGTAGCAGGCATGTGAGGCAGGCAGCTGGAACTAACTACCATTTAGGGTAGGTCTTCTACCTCAGTTAACTCAGTCTAGAAACTCCCTCACAGACATGCCCAGAAGTTTATCTTCACTAGATTCTAGATCTTGGCAAATTGACAAGCTTAACCATCATATGTCCTTGAGTTTCCTGTCCCGCCAGGTCCTACCGCTTCAGCCCCAAACGAACACACAGAGACGCTATGTTAACTATTAAACTGTTGGCCGACGGCTAGGGCTTCTTATTGGCCACCTCTGTCTTAATTATTAGCCCATTTCTATAAATCTAAGGGTCTGGACCTGTTGTTACTCCTTCCTCCCCTCCACTACATGGCGTTTTCCCGTGGTCTCTCTCTGCCTACTTTTCCCAGAATTCTCCTCATCTCCTAGTCCCACCTATCTTCCTGCCTCTATTGGCCAAACAGTGCTTTATTCATCAGCGAGTAAGAGAAACATGTGCAGAAGGACATCCCCCATCAATCATACATAGGAGTGTTAAGTCGGGAAGTCACAACTAGGTGGTGAAAGTGGCTTTACTAATTGAGATCTAGTTCAAGTATGTGGGAGAGTTGATCTCAAGAATTCACAGTGGGCAGAACAGCAGGTGTGAAACTTGCTTTGGGCAAGTGCTGAAAGTGTTCGTAGCAGGAGGTGGAACCTTATTTATTTATTCGTTTATTTATTTATTTGTAGCTTTGGGGCCTCTACTGGCACTCGCTCTGTAGACCAGGCTGCCTTCAAACTCACAGAGATCCGCCTGCTTCTGCCTCCCCAGTGCTGGCATTAAAGGCGTGCGCCACCACTGCCTGGCTGAGGCAGAACTTTTACACAAACAATAAAAATGGGCTGAAGAGGTGGCTTGGAAGTTAAGAGCAGTTACTGCTCTTGCAGAGGACCTGGGTTCCATTCTCAGTACCTATGTGGTGACTCATCTTCAACTGTAACTAACTCCAGTTCCTGGGATGCACTTTCTGGCCTCCTTGGCCATCAACCACACGTGTAGTGCACATACATACAAATTTTTAAAAAAAGAAGAAAAATGCTTTTAACGTGAATTGGAGCATAGATGTATTGGTTGGGGGTATCTGAGTGGCCTGTAGTAAAAGACATAAAAGACACAAGACTTGTAAGGGGGTTCACATCCCTCCCTTAGCAAGGCTACTTATTCTAGCCCCGAGCTAGAACACAACTAATAATGAACAGGAGTGCAGGGTAGGGTGAGAAAAATGAAGGGAGGAAGTGAGATAAGCCAGCTGGTCCTGGGAGGCCACCAGAGGGCGCCCTTGATCTGCTTTGCTGCTTTGCAATTTGAGATCCTTGCTCTTTGCTTTTTCTTTTTTTTTTTTTTTTTTTGGTTTTTGGTTTTTGGTTTTTTTTTTTTTTTTTGGTTTTTGGTTTTTCAAGACAGGGTTTCTCTGTAGCTTTGGAGGCAGTCCTGGAACTCGCTTAGTAGTCCAGGCTGGTCTCGAACTCACAGAGATCCGCCTGCCTCTGCCTCCCGAGTGCTGGGATTAAAGGCGTGTGCCACCACTGCCCGGCTCCTCTTTGCTTTTTCTAGACACAGTTCCAGTGATTCTTTTTTTGGACACGGTTGACCTCAAACTGGCTTTATAGCAAAGGATAACCTTGATTTTCTGGTCCTCCTGTGACTACTCTTGAGTGCTATGGTGATAGGCATGTGCCACCACACCTGGTTTACAGTGTTGGGACTAGAACCCAAGGCTTTATGCATGCCAGGCAAGCACTCTCCCAACTAAGCCACATCTCCAGCCCCTCCAGTGACTCTTTATAATGCCAGACAGTCCACTTAGGAGGTTTACCAAAGATGAAGTAGGGAGGAAGTGCCAGGCACTAAATCCCAGCACTCAGGAGGCAGGGGCAGGAAGATCTCCAAACTTGAGGCCAGCCTGGTCTATAGTGAGAACCTTTCTCAAAAACAAAAGACGGTAAGAGAAGCTGACACACATCCTGTCCTCAGGGTGAGGTTGAGCAGACGTGGGAGAGCTTGGGTGGGTCTGGCTGCAGACGTCTCCTCTTCAGCAGGGCAGATGAGGGGTAGGCATGATGAAGGTGGCGCTGGGTAATCAACTGGGCACAGTCACAGACAGCGGGGATTTGTTGCTTGAGCTTGCCAGGGTGAAGACATACTATGTGGTTTTCATCATAAAGCATTTCTCTTGCCTAAGCGGGGTTATGAACCCAAGATAAGTCTAGATGTATCACTGAGTGGGTTCCCTTTGCAAACTGCAGGAACTATCACTGTGGTCGCAATCCCATTTTGAGTGTGGCCTTCAGAACCCATACCCTGATACTTTAAGTTTGTTGTTACTTTGTTTTTGTGGTTGGTTGTCCTGGGACTCACTTTGTAGACCAGGCTGGCCTCAAACTTACAGAAATCTGCCAGTCTCTGCCTCCTGAGTGCAGGGATTCAAGGTGTGTGCCACCACCTCCCATCATACTTTAAGATATTAAATGCTGAGATATTAGTTGGTTTCAAGACGAATATGCGGGAAACCCCATCTGCAGCATTATTAAGTGGTTGTTGTTTTGCTTTTTCCTCTTTTATTTTGTGAGGACAGAGAGGTGTGTCATGACATGCATGTAGAGGTCTAAGGGTAACTTGTGGAAGTTGGTTCTCACCTCCCGTATATGACTCGGGATCAAATTCAGATCATCCAAACCTTTACCTTCTGAGCATCTCACTGCCTTTCCCCCCTTGAAGAGGGTCTATATATCCTAGACTAGCCTCAAACTTGCCGTGAAGCCAAGGATGACCTTTAACTTTGGTTCTTCTTACCTTCACCTTCCAAGGATAGGGGCTACAGGCCTGTGCCAATATGCCCAGTTGTTGTAGTGCTGGGGTTCCAGCCCGGGTCTCATGCATGCTGGGCAAGCACTGTGAGCCGCACCCCCAGCCCCAGCCCTGTGTCTTGAGACAGGAACTCATAGCTCAAGCTGTGCTTTAACGTGCTCTTCACCTGCCTCCGCGTTCATTCTGTGCTGGGCTTGTAGGGTATGCAGCCTTGTCTAGTGATTACAGTGCCTGCAGAGACCAGAAGAGGGTGTCAAGTCCTCTGAAACTGGAATCGTAAGCAGTGAGTCACTCCTACATGGTCCTCTTGGACTAGTACTCAGTCTTAACTGCTGAGTCATCTCTTCAGCCCATGACAACATCTTTAATGTATGTACCAATGAAGGAAGCAACTAGGGGTGTAGGCCAGTGGTAGAGCATTTGCCTGGCATTTACAAGGCCTTAGGTTCTGGGGGAAAAGAATATTAAAGACCATTATTGGGGTGGAAATTAATGAGCATGTAAGGAGCGCCTGGTGATGTAGATGCAAATGGGATTACATATAGCATCTCTAGGGAAACAAGGTGGATCTCTGAAGGTGGAATACTGGAAGAGGGCATTTCAAGACTGGGACGGGGCTGCGGGCTCAGTGGTATGTTGATGGCCATGTTGGGTCTTCAGGGTATAGGAGCTCCACCTTTGACTCTGCCTCTCACCTCCTCTGTACTCCTTCCAGATCTTGAAGATACTCAAAGGGAAGATAGTGGTAGGACATGCCATCCACAATGACTACAAAGCCCTACAGTACTTTCATCCCAAGTCCCTCACTCGAGACACTTCCCAAATACCACTCCTCAACCGGAAGGCTGACTGCCCAGAAAATGTGACTTTGTCACTGAAGCATCTCACCAAGAAGCTATTGAATCGGGACATCCAGGTAACTTCCCTCTAAGTGCCCCCACCACACACACAGTTCAGGACCCAGTGGTCTCTGTGTATGGAGAAATAATTCCTGTGAACCTCGTAGGTTGTACCAAATGGTACAGTGGGAACAGAAGACTACCCAGGCATTTCACATGCTCAGCAGTCAAGGGGAGTGGCCACAGAATACAGAGCTGTGGATACATGTCATGTGGAGAACAGTTTTGGTTTTTCGAGACAGGGTTTCTCTGTGGCTTTGTAGACTGTCCTGGAACTAGCTCTGTAGACCAGGCTGGTCTCGAACTCACAGAGATCTGTCTGCCTCTGCCTCATGTGCTGGGATTAAAGGCATGCGCCACCAACTCCCGGCATGGAGAACATTTAAGAAACAATACTCAGAGGGCCTGTCTTTGACCTGAAATGTCCTGCCTCTGAAAAACTTAAATAATGTACATACACTTGCTCTTGAAATAAGTGTGTTAGCCAGACAGTAGTGGTGTACACCTTTAATCCCAGCATTCGGAAGCAGAGGCAGGTAGATCTCTATTTGAGGCCATCCTGGTCTATAGAGCGAGTTCCAGGACAGCCAGAACTGTTACACAGAGAAACCCTGTCTCAAAAAAAGACAAAACAAAAGAAGAAAGAAAGGACAGTATATTAGACAATATCTGTCTTCCTGGGAATTGAACCTCCGAGATGTGCTAGGGAATAGAGCCCCAGCAGAGTTCTGACTACGGCTCATAAACTATAGACGAAAATAGGGGGTGGCTAGCAGGCTGCAGGGAGTCCAGAGTTGTCTGGAAACGGAAGAAATAATTCTTGTTTTCTTCAATGCTCCCCTTTAGGCTGGAAAATGTGAACATTCCTCAGTGGAAGATACCCAGGCCACCATGGAACTGTACAAGTTGGTTGAAGTTGAATGGGAACAGCACCTGGCCCAGAATCTTCTAGAAAATTAGCAATCCTGGAGAGACACATGCCATGCAGCAGACCATTCCACAATTCTTCCAGCTTCACACCTGTAGAAGCTAGAATTGTTGGGGAGAGGTCCTTGATCAGAGAGTTAATAATCATTGAAATTTCATCTCAGCTATTGTGGTCGCTGTGCGGTTAAGTATTTCATGGAAGGAGAGAGCCTTCATGTTAAAACCACCTCTAGGCCAGGCAGGTAATCCCACATACTTGGGAGACTGAGACAAGGTATAAATTTAATGTCTGCCTGAGCTATGGAATTAGTTAAAGGTCATGGAGACCCTGTCCTAACACAAAAAGAGGGCTGGGTGTAAAGCTCAGTGGCAGAGCCCTTGCTTAGCGTGCACAAAGCCCCTAGGTTCAATATCTTGCATTGATGTGGGGTAGGGTAGGAAGAATGGAACACAACACGATGAACTATACACTGTGTACTTCTTTAATAGTGCTAATCATATGTCCCAGGGTGCTTGTGCCAGTCAGTTTTCTTGCATTTGAGGAATCAAGGCACACCAGGGAACACAGATTCCCACATTATCTTATCAATGGGACATTTAGCATCAGTATCTCCCTTTGGTGGGGAGTGGGGTAAAGGAGTTGTATTGCCTACAAACACTTAGGGACAGCTGACTTTTTCCTCAGCTCTGAGTAACCGGGACTAAAGGTGTGTGTTCACCACTGCGCCTGGTTTTATGAATTGTATGTTTTTTGTTGTAAAGTAATCTAATATCCTTTCACTTTCAGAAGTGTTCTGATTGGAGGTAGGCATGGTGGTGTGATTCTGAAGAGGAGCTCTGGCTCAGAGAAACAGAAAAAGAGAAGGAGCAGGTTGTGTGGCTGGTAGCTGTATAGCCACATTGCAGAACACAGAATAGCGATTTACTTCATTTAGGTTCTGCTTAGTTACAAAGAATTTACACTGTTTTAAGAGTCTTTCAACCATTTTACCTTGTAAATGAAGCCTTTTAAAACTTCAAATGATTCTTTTATAATAGAAAATTAATGGGTTTTTTCCATAAAGATTATTTTTACTTTATTTATGCGTATGAATATGTATGTGTATGAACGCTCGGCCTTAGTTCATGCTTGTCCCACCAGCCTTTCTAACTTCATTTGACCTGTGTCTCTCCATCTGTGTTTTACCTCAGGACATTTCACTTCTCTCATTCTGTGTGTCTTATTTTCCTGCGTCCTCCATGACTGGCTGGCCCTGGGCACCTCCCTCTCTGCCTTGTTCTCTCTCTCTTCCGCCACCCTCGCCTATCCCTCTCTGCCTAGCTATTGGCTGCTCAGCCTTTTATTAGACCAGTCAAGTGCCTTAATCAGGCAAGGTAAAACAGAAACACGTCTTAGTTAAACAAATATTCTATTTTACATTGTATGTGTGCTTTGTCGGGAGTGGGGGGCAGGAGAGGGTATCAGATCTTGTGAATTTCTAGAAAATGGGTGCTGGAAATCAAGCTGGGATCCTCTGGAAAGGGCCATCTTTCTAGCTCATGTGGTGGATTCTTTTTAGCTTCATATTAAATGACATCACAAGGTGTGGAGGGCTGTGTAGTTCTCTGAGGATTTCTAGGCTGTCTGAATGGCTCTCCCTGAAGACTGTGTATGTGGGATGACCTAAAGCTCTGGAAAGCCTTTGTGACACAAACAGTGCCTTGTCTTTCTTATCACAATTCAACAATCACACCTGAAGTGACACCCTGAGCCATGTAGGCACTCTTGTATAGAGGGCGTGTGACCAGGGGAGTGAATCCGTGGGCATAAGGGAGGGGGTGGGGAGGGGGTGCTTGGCAGCCAGCTCTTCCTTGGTGGTACACACCCTCATCTCCAAAAGCTGAGTCATGGGTCTGTCCATCTGTACCGTCCCTACTCTTCAGAGCCATCTCCATCCCTTCAGTTTCTTTTACTTTGGTTCTTAAGAGTTGTTTTGTTTTTGTTTTTGTTTTTCGAGACAGGGTTTCTCTGTGTTGTTTTGGAGGCTGTCCTGGAACTCGCTCTGTAGACCAGGCTGGCCTCGAACTCACAGAGATCCGCCTGCCTCTGCCTCCCGAGTGCTGGGATTAAAGGCGTGCGCCACCAACGCCCAGCTGGTTCTTAAGAGTTTTAATGGCTTTTATCCCCAACCCTGAGTTCTGGTCTTGGTTTTTGAGGGTGGTGTCTATAGATACAGTAAGAGTGCAGTTCTCAATGGGAGCTTCACGGTGCCATGCACTATACTGAGGCCTTGAGATAGACCATGTCACTCTAAGCTGGGTGGCAGTTTTTGGTTGGCTGTTTTTTATGTGTATGGGTGTTTTGCCTATAGGAATGTCTTGAGCACTGCTTGTGTGCCTGGTGCCTGTGGAAGCCATTAGAGTGTATCAGATCCCCTGGAACTGGGTTTACAGGTAGTTGTGAGTTGTTGTGTGGATGCTGGGAATCAAACCCAGGTCCCCTGTAAGAGCAGCCAGAGCTCTTAACTGCTGGGCCATGGTTCCAGCCCCTCAAGGTAGTATTCAAACTTAAGGTGGAGGTTGAGGTTAAAACCAAGAAGGTAAGAAATCTTTCCCAGGCCAAGTGTTAGAGGTTGGCCGCATTGGCACTCAGATCTGCTGCGTAGGCCTGAAGTCCCTGCCCTGCGTCAGCATCTGAGTGGTATCTAGCAGGACATGAGTTCTACCACTCAGATCCTTGCCCAGTGTCTGCTCTGTACCAGGCAGTGTACTAGACACCGAGATGGTGTTGTCTTTGGCTAAGAAGAGTCAAGAGACCTCAGTGCACCATGCATTTGCTGTCCAGAGCCAAGATTTAAGGCAGGTTAGTATTGAACAGGTCTGTGTTTCTGGAAGACAATACTGGCACTATATAGAAGCTAGATTGGGGAAGGGCCAAGAGGTGAATTATCTGGAGAGGGAGAAGCATGTGAGTATCGTCAGCAGGACCAGGTTGGGACAAGAGAGTGAGCAGATGAACCAAGGTGCAAAGACCAGTGAAGGATTCACCAACAGTGGGAGGAAATAGGTGGGGGAAATGAGGTGGGTATTTCCTGGCTTCCTGAGCTGCCTGAACATAAAGTTTGGAGCCAACATGGTAAAGCTGGGTTTTAGTGGCTCATATCTGTCATTCCAGCATTCATGAGGCAGAGATGGGAAGATCACAAGATTGAGGTTTTGAGACAGGTCTTGCTCTGGGGTGTGTGTGTGTGTGTGTGTGTGTGTGTGTGTGTGTGTGTGTGTGTGTGTGTGTGTGTGTGTGTGTATGGCTTGACTGGAGCTCATTATGTAGAATAGACCTAGCTGGCCTAAAACTCCAAGCAAGAGTCTGCCTCTGCCTCTGCTGGGATTAAAGGCTCCTGACTTCCCAAAAGTAAATCTAAAAAAAGAAACCAGCCAGGTATGGTGGCACAGGACTTGCTTCTTAAACACACAAGCACATCTGCTCTAAGGCTTCTGCACCATCACTTACCTGACAGTCTCCCTTTGGATCTTTATATAACTTGCTTCCTCATATCTTGCATATATATTATACCCATGCTTATACACATACAGTGTTAGCACTTGGGAGGCAGAGGCAGGCAGATCCCTGTGAGTTTAAGACCAACCTGGTCTACATAGTTCCAGGCTAGCCCAGGGTTATATGGCGAGATCCTGTCTTAAAAAAAATTATTTGGGGTGGCATGTGAGATGGCTTGGCAGTTAGAGGCACTTGCTGCTGATAGAGAACACCCAAGCTTGGTTCCTAGCACCCATGTCAGGCAGCGCACAGCCTTCAGTAATTAGCTGCAGGGAGGGAATCTGGTACCCTCCTCAAGCACCTTCACACACATGCATGTACACATACAGGTGCACACATCAACACATGGGTGAGAGGAAGTGTCTCATTTGATTCTCCCAGTTCTGAGCATGTCTGTAGGATTCAGACTGAGAATGTGGCAGGTGCTGAACTACACTGTGTGGCGTAGACCTGTAGTCCCTGCTATTCCATGGTCTGCCTGGCAACAGAGAATGAGCTAGAGGGGAGAGAGGAAAAGGAGAAATAGACTCCAGTCAAGGTGAGTGCACGAGAATCCTACTTGTGAGTCAAGACACTGAGATACTTACAGGCAAAGGTGATGGTATGAAGGAAGGGGCGCATACATGTGTGCCCCGCACGCAGTGGTACATGTCCTTGTCTCAGGAGGAGCTCTTGGAGATGGCGCCATTCATGCAGACCCGAAAGGTAAGAGGGAGCAAGTTGTGTAACGATGGAAGACCGCCGGCTACGTGGAAAGGTCTTGGAGCAGATGTGCACTTGTGTCTAAGGAGCAAGCAAGAGAGCCAGTGTGACGGGAGCAGAGTAGGCTAGGCTAGGAAGTATAGGTGGTCAGAAGGGAGGGGAGGGACGTAGGCAGACAACAGGACCTGCCGTACATGAGGAGGATTCAGAGATTTACACTACACCAAGTGGGGAGCCACAGTAGGATCTAGGGCAGAGGAATGAAGCAAATTAGTGTAGGCTTGCCCCTCACTGCTGTGAGGGAGAGGATGAGAGCAGAACCCGTGTAGAAGCTTTTTCTGAGACCTAGGAGAAACATCTGGCCCCATGGCAGTGCAGCTGCTGAGAAGTTCAGAAGTGGCTGACCTGAGTGTGCTGTGTGGCGAGCAACGCAACTGGTCAATTTTTGCTCTTTCAACCTTCTTCAGGACCCTGTTCCTGTTCTGCCAATGAACACTGAGTGAATGCCTCTGCCCAGAGTGGTGGACCAGCAGACACTCTGGACAGTCAGGGCAGAGAATAAATAGGTGACATCTAGTGGCACTACTAGGAAAAGGTGCTGGGGATCCTGGCTCACTGTCAGTGACCCAGGCCTGAAGAACTTCTGCATGGGTCCTATAGTAATTCCCCCCAACCCTCCCATCATTGAGCCATGCCAGGGACTTCATGGTTTGCTCTTTCTTTTTATGTATGATTTCTTGTCTTACTAGAGACAGTGTCAACCCCATGCCCTTCTGAGAAGGTGCACAGAATGCCTAGGGTTTCCAGAGAGGGTACATGAGCACATATTGTGAAGAATTTTAGGGTCCAGGAAGATAAAGGGTCAGTTGGTGAGACACATGCTGTACAAGCATGAAGACCAGAGTTTGGGTCCCTGGCACTAATG